TCATCTGTCGTTTGCATGAGAAATATCTCCCCCTCTTGCTAGGGGTGCATGGCTCGCTCGCGAAAACATCATTGAATGGCTTCATGCATGCGAGTCGCTCATTCATTATGTGTCCGAAATCATATTTATTTAAATAAATTGTCGAATACCGACCAGTAGGCCACTGGTTCACAATTGTGCATTTCTTTATCGCTATATCAAAGAGAAAACTACTGAATAACTTTAAAAAGTTCAATTTTTCTTCCGTGCATATACGCATGAGAAATATCTTCCCTCTTGCTAGCTCTGCATGGCTCGCTCACTAAACGGCATTGAATGGCTTCTTGCACGTGGGACGCTCATTCAATATCTGTCCGAAATCATATTTAGTCAGATAAATTGTCGAACACCGACCAACAGACGATTGGAGTACAGTATATGCGGATAAATGCGTACAGTATATTTGTAATTTAAAACTGAATTTGAATAATTGTTTGATACAGAGACGACTGTTTTCACTTAGGCCTACTATGACACCCGTTCCGCGTGTTCTAAATCACATATAATGAGAATTCTAAGTTTTAGAACATCGGATATATGTGACATGGGATGATCATCTGAGCCATCTAACACGTTCGCTGTTTGCTGTACTGGGAACGAGCTATTTGTTATTATTGCGTATTATAAATTCTAAATAGAAGTTCGCCAAAATGGCGGATTCTTGCAAGCGTTTTAAGGCATGCAAAATTCGCGTTAATACGCAGTCAACAAAGGGAAAAAAAACTACAAGACATGTGCGTTTAAATTCAAAGAACTATTGCAAGATTTCTCAGGAGTCAAGTTCGAGTAAGCAGAAGTCTTTCACAACGGGAATGGAAGAAGAACATGTTGATGGTTCAAATATCGACGATATAAATAGCAGCCATGAAAGTGATGACCAAGCTTTTTCTAGTCTTTCACGATATCACTTGCGCCGGGTGAAAGAGTATCACAGTTGGGAAGATGTGAGGGGGTCTCTTTTGCAAGCACGCATTGAGGAAGAAGCTTTTTGTGACGAAAGTATAATGTGCATCGAGTGCCATAACAACTTCGCTGTTTGTCGCTGCGTGGATTGTGGTCCTAGACAGTTGTTTTGCATCAACTGCGCGAAAACTATCCACGAACAACGCAACGTCTTTCACCTACTTGAAATTTTCAAGGTGCGTGTGATGTTTTTGGCGTAAAATATAACATATTTCAATATCTTTTATATGTATATTACATATTCAGAACTGACCCTACCCCAGACCCAACTGTTTAAAAATTAATGTTGCTTATTTTCTCAGGATGGTTGTTTTGTTCCTTTATTTGTTAATCATGGTGTTTTGACTCTTGATCACCAAAGAAATTGTCCAACTGCACAAGCACAAAACATTATTTGTATTGATGAAAAAGGTGGGTTTATTGGTACTGTGGATTTGATAACTGTATTCAAGTTTGTTTTCAGTCCTAAAATAATTGTGAGAAAAGTTCTGTAAGTTTCTCCTTTGGTGCATTTTTATTAGGGCATCAACACTTGAAATGGATCAACTTTTGTAACTGTGAAGATGCTGCAGTTACACTTGTAAAGTTCCAATTATGGCCAGGATCAGCTGTTAGACCTCAGGTTGCATTTCATTTTAAGTTGGTTACACTTGCTGAGACAAGAGATATTTCAATTTGTTTGATATATAAGACATTAAATTATATTTGCCTACTAATTATGATGTTAGTTTGGTTGCCAGCTAACTAGTATACAGTAACTATAAAGTCTACAGAGTGCAGATACTCATGTTCCGAGCGAAGTTTAAAATTTCATAATTAGTGGACGTGCAAATATACACTTATTTACATATCACACAAATTGGAATGTCTCGTTAGCAAACCATGAAATGAAGTGAGAAACTAGAAAATAAGTTATATATACATGTGAAACATATTAAAGATTTCTTTTGTGTTATAAAATAATCAATGTTATGTCATATATGGTACACTTTAATTATATACCATAGATAAATAAATTTATTCATACATTATATATTTTTTTGGTTTTCTAAGGTTAAGAATCTCTATAAAATATTGAATGATGATTCTTTTGATGAATTTAGGTAGGGGCGTATTTTGGTTAACTGCATGACACAGTACTGTTCTTGTCAAATATTTTATTTTATTGTTTTTGCAACTTTTTATGATAAATTTTAAACTTCAATTCTATATATATATATATATATTATATATAATATATATATATATATATATATTATATATATATATATATATATTTACAATACCAACAATAATATTTTATTTATGTAGATATCACCAACATTTGTTCAAAACAATGAAACAATTTGTCTTGCAACAAAAACCTGACAATGTTTGCCCGTTATGTCCTTTGCAGGTATAGAACTCCACAGGTATTTTTTCTTTTATGTCACATTCTCCTTTTTGTATTTAACATATTGTGATAATTTTGTAGAGTGAAACTGATACTGACAAGAATGTTGCCATTGAGTGCATGGATGGATGTTTTGGGCTTGTGAGAAAAAAGTCTGCTGGTGCGAATCTTTTACCTGCCAGACACAATGGTACATTTTTTGCCAATCAGGATGATGTCGATAGCTTTGTTGATGACAACTCAAAGAAGGCAAAGCAAGCCCCTACTGTAAGTGGTTACTGGTGATTGTACTGTAAAAAGTAGTTTTGTTGAATATTATCATTTTATAGAAGAATCCACTGTTTTTCCTAGGATTGCAATGAATTTAAATCTGGTGAGGTTAGTAACATGTTACGATCCAAAGGAAGAAATAAGCTTTTTGACGAGAAGGGAGTGTTTGGTAGAGTATGCAGACATGAATACCCAAGGGGATTTATGAGTATCAAACATGGAGAAAGGTGAGCAAACAGTCATCAAATTAAAGTGCAAGTGTACATGTTGATAGTAATTTAGTGCAACATACTGTATATTTTAGGATAGCATATTCAGTGTATGAGGTTAAAAAGCTTCTGTGTCATTATGATGAGGATACTGATGTTAAAATAATGTATGACATTGCATGTACTTTGTCTGCCCACCTAAAGGTAAGGTATAGGCATAGCTGCCTGATTACAGTTTAAATTCTAAGAAGAAGTAAAGTTCTGTCATTTGGAGATGTAATCTCATGTGCAATTTTACATGTATTGAATATTTATTATATATGAATTTCAATATCCATTTGCATATATATTTTATTTTTGATAGAAAAACGAAGAGCATACCATTCTTGGACGCATTGACTTGGCAATTCCTGTTTTCCATGCATATGGACATAAATCTTCTTGCCAGGTCAATATATGGTTTAGAAGTTGTCGGTTTTGTTATCAAAAATTTAATTGTCATTCTTAGGTGCAGTAATGCAGTATGTCGCATGTTGTTATTTATCTCAGAATTGTCCCGAAATGTAGGTTGCTTTTGGTCCTAGAAGAAAGGAGGGATTTGGCCTTACTGACGGTGAAGGAATTGAAAGACTTTGGTCTTACCTCAGAGGATTTTCATCAATGACAAAGGAAATGACAGCTGGTCGAAGGGTTGACGTATTAACAGATGCGCTTCTTCACCATGCAAGACATCGTCTTCTACAGTTTGGCTAGTTGAATATTTCTGCCTTGGTGGATTTATGCCACCAATATCATTACAGTATTGGTAATTTTTTTGCGACTATATATTTGTAATTCAATGCTTGATTTTTCCCCACAGGTCCGGCATTGTTGTCTAAAATGCAAAAAACAAAGAAACTAATGGAAAACTCAGTAGTACAGTTGGAGGAGATCTTTTCAGATTTAAAAGGTAGAACATCTTATCTAACATTTGATAGTATTAAACAGTTATTGGATGAGGCTTTTGTATATGCGGAAAATTTCAATGTAAGTGTTAGTATCATAGTGCTGTCATAGGTCGAATTACGTTATAATAGAAAAGTCTTTCAATTTCAGTTTCCTATGGTACTGATGTAATTAACTCTTGGATGAAAGCAGAAGAGAATATGTTGTTAATGAGAGGCAGTATGTACCAATTATAACGTAAGGAAATACCGTGTTCATTTGTAACAAGACGTGTAATATTATCATAAACTGTTGATGTTGTAGAGAGAAAACCATCGCCCATGTCGTGGGAGGCTAAATACGTACAGAACTTAGTTTTCTTGCAGGAACTGAGGTTAGACTGATAATGATATATTTTGTGCATTTCCTGGCTGATTGTTCATTTATTTTTAATTAACAAAATATTTTCTAATACTTATAATGGTATGCTACAGACAAGGCATTGCTTCAACAGAAGCTGAAAATCATGAAACCATAAACGAGCTTGTAAAGAGGAAGAAAGCGTAAGTATTGGAACTAGCGACCGAATAGAATTGTTTTTGGTGTTAAAAGTCATATATACCTTTATGTAACTTCAGGATTTTAAAAATTGTCATGGGAATTGAAAAAAGCTACAAGGTTCACCCAAGATGGAGAATGGGCGAGGAGAAATTCAACGTGGCAGCATTGTCTGTTCTTCGGGATAGGCGAAACCAAGCATTAGAAAAATTATACTCACTTGCAGTCGAACGTATGTTCTTATTAAATTTGAAGCGAAAATATGCAGGTATTTTTTTTTGCTATAACTCAAATTGTGATCGTTTGATGATCCAAGAATTATGCTTGGTTGTTTAGTTTAGGTTGGCACCATATAATTATCAATTAAGCGGACTAGTGATTCAATATAAACTGCCTTTTATTCAAAATGAAGGCAAAACAAAATAATGTAAACATTAAAAAGGCTTGCGTCGCGTAGACGCGTACGACCCCTTTAGTAGTCATATGTTATAATGGAAGTTGAAGTTCGTATGCTAATACTGCAATGGTAAAACTGTTTTAAGTTTTCAACATGTTTATTCACGGTGTGCCGTATCCTATGAATCGACATTACTTTCATTTGTAATGATGAGCTTTAATTTAAAATGGGAATTCCCACTCTAAGTTTGACATGACTCATTCGTTTGTGTTTTTTTATCGATTAATAGACGGCCAAGCAATTGCAGAGAAAGTTTCTAAGCAGATAACACAAAGGACGAATTCTGCTAAAGTAGTTGTTGAAAAGTACAACGCTAGCCTTGCTGCTTGGAAAGACAATGTAACTGGGTTGCCAGAAGAGCTAGAGTTTGACAAGGTAAAAGATCCAGAATCCGACCTATATAAGGATTTCAGAGAAAGCACTTTGAAGTGAGGATCAAGTTCCATATTCTGTGAAGAAAAGCGCAATAGATTTGCATAATTTCATCGAAAGATGCAAGGAGGAAACAAGTTATTTGAAAACTGAAATGTGTAGGCTTGTTACGTATCACCAAACCCAAAAGTCAAGTTTTTTAGAATGGCTGAAGGACAACAATGACTCGTCATCAACCGTACTCATTCGAGGAATTCGGTGCATACTTCAAAGAAAGATTCTGGAAGAGGAAAACAAACTAATTGTTCTTGGTGCAACGTTTGGCAATCACCTACCAGATAATGTATCATCGTCCATTCCAAAAATCGAATGGAGTCATGAAAGCACCATGCCCTCTACCAAACACGTTTTCGAGAACTTGGATCAACTAGATGACCAAAGGGAACAGAGTGAAGAACAGGACGATGAGATATTGTCAATTTTAGACAGTTCAGATGACGAGGTTGAAGATGAATCTGAAATGGATTTCTAAATAAATGCAAAGCTCTCTGTATCATTTTGCATGATGTTTGATGTACATAATAGGTTTTTTAATTATATATCTTGTCTATACAATCTGATTTATTTTTAGTGCACAAGCATAGTCTCCGTCTAATGTGTGGAAACATGCATGTTTTAATTTATTAAAAGAAAAATTAAAAATTATATAACAACAAATATTAAATTAAATTATTAAAACAATTGAAATAATTTGTCCCTCGCATATTACGCTTTAGTATAAATTTCCAGGTGACTATTGATTTTTCCTGCATCCTCATTGCTCAAAATTCACTGTGTTTGAAGTGATAGTCTCTTGTTGGTGAATATAGCTCTGTTGTTTTTTTAAATAAGAAATTTGAATAATATTCTTGTATGTTTGCTTGGTGACATCAATAATTAAATTAGCTTGTGTAAGTGCACCACCTAAGTATTTTTAAAATACAGCAAGTTTAATGCAGTGTTAAATACTTACGTGGGGTACCTACAAGTTAAATTAATTAAGAAATTTGAAGTAATAATTTTCTTGTATGATTGCATGGCGACTTTAGTAATTATAATAACTTGTAGGTACACCACGTAAGTATTAAATACTGCAAAGCTTTCGGTCCGTTAACCGTCAAATACTTGTCTAGGGCGCGCGCATTAATTAGAACTTAATTAAATGAAACCGTTTAATTAATAGCGCGAGCAAACTAATCACGACTAACTGATATTTAAGTGACGCGCAAACGTGTATTCAAGTAATTGCACTGATGAAGGTCCGGGTTAACGGACCGAAAGCTTTGCAGTATTTAATACTTACGTGGGTACCTACAAGTTATTATAATTTTGAAGTAATATTTATGTTGATTCAACTGTGTATCATTTTTGGTGATAAGAATAGATGTGCAAAGTTTCAAACAATAATTACTTCGTGAAGTTTGAGTTCAATCACGCATGATCTGCTCTGACACCCTATAATTGCACCTAAGTTAGAAAAGCTAAGCCTATTTTTTTCATCGCGCACTTCCATTCTCTCAATTGATCTGAAATTTTAACTGTGTATAATTTTTTGTGATACAAATAGTTGTGCAAAGTTTCAAGCAGTAATTCCTTCGTGAAGTTATAATTCAAGCACGCATGATCTGCTCTGACACCCTATATTAATTACACCCCTAAGTTAGAAAAGCTGAGCCTATTCTTTCATCGCGCACTTCCATTCTCTCAATTGAGCTGAAATTTTAACTGTCAGAATTTTTTGTGATACAAATAGTTGTGCAAAGTTTCAAGCAGTAATTCCTTCGTGAAGTTTGAATTCAATCACGCATGATCTGCTCTGACACCCTATAATTACACTTAAGTTAGAAAAGCTAAGCCTATTTTTTCATCGTACACTTCCAATCTCTCAATTGATCTGAAATTTTAACTGTGTATCATCTTCTGTGATACGAATAATTGTGCAAAGTTTCAAACAGTAATTCCTTCGTGAAGTTATAATTCAAGCACGCATGATCTGCTCTGACACCCTATATTAATTACACCCCTAAGTTAGAAAAGCTGAGCCTATTCTTTCATCGCGCACTTCCATTCTCTCAATTGAGCTGAAATTTTAACTGTGCAGAATTTTTTGTGATACAAATAGTTGTGCAAAGTTTCAAGCAGTAATTCCTTCGTGAAGTTTGAATTCAATCACGCATGATCTGCTCTGACACCCTATAATTACACTTAAGTTAGAAAAGCTAAGCCTATTTTTTCATCGTACACTTCCAATCTCTCAATTGATCTGAAATTTTAACTGTGTATCATCTTTTGTGATACGAATAATTGTGCAAAGTTTCAAGCAGTAATTCCTTCGTGAAGTTTGAATTCAATCACGCATGATCTGCTCTGACACCCTATATTAATTACACCCCTAAGTTAGAAAAGCTGAGCCTATTCTTTCATCGCGCACTTCCATTCTCTCAATTGAGCTGAAATTTTAACTGTGCAGAATTTTTTGTGATACGAATAATTGTGCAAAGTTTCAAGCAGTAATTCCTTCGTGAAGTTAGAATTCAAGCACGCATGATCTGCTCTGACACCCTATATTAATTACACCCCTAAGTTAGAAAAGCTGAGCCTATTCTTTCATCGCCTACTTCCAATCGCTCAATTGAGCTGAAATTTTAACTGTGTAGAATTTTTGTGATACAAATAGTTGTGCAAAGTTTCAAGCAGTAATTCCTTCGTGAAGTTTGAATTCAATTACGCATGATCTGCTCTGACACCTTATAATTACACCTAAGTTAGAAAAGCTAAGCCTATTTTTTCATCGTACACTTCCAATCTCTCAATTGATCTGAAATTTTAACTCTCTACAGTAATTGAACATCATTATGAGATGGTTTTGCACAAATAGAGAACTAAAGCAAAGAACTGTGAGTTATTGAGAAATTCATGATGATTGGACGTGAACTAGAAGAGACTTACGCCTGTATTCAAAAAGCTCACTCACACTCATACTCATCGAGTGTGACATATAAATTTCGTTAATGCTGATCAATGAGAAAGTTTTTTTCTGAACAGATGGAAAGATATAAGGTAAATCACTGAAAATCAAGCCCCTGTTCGGCTGGAAATACCGCCATTGAAACGTTATGAGAAGATTAAGATCTCCCACTCAATGAGTTTGAGTGTTAGTGAGCTTTTAGAATACAGGCGGGCAGTTCCTGGGTAAGAACCTATTTTAGATGGATATAAACATCGTAGTGTAACATGAGATCTGTTCTAATTTGAAACTAAAGGGGCCTTTTCAAACCATGCATGTACACCTTTCATAGTTGGTAACGGAAAATGCGACTACCAGGATTCATTAGACTGCAGTTGTTGGTTTGGTCCGGTTTGCACATAAATTAATACATTCTAGCAGCCGAAAGAAATAGCGGGCAATGTGATAGAATTTTTGTCGGAAACTTTTTGAGGTAACAGCTTTCAAATAGATAAGGCAAAATAATTTGATGACTTCACATTTCAAAAATACGCTCTATTGCAGGTGAACTTTTAATTAAATGCATGTCATTATGCATGTGTCCAGATGACTGATGATGACAAGGTCAAGGTGCGTTGACGAATCATTACAAACACAAATGCAAATGTAACGTAATAAGCCTTTAATAGAGTGAATGAACGCAGTCAGATATAGTTTCAATGCAACAATAACTATTAAAACTTATTCACACATATCCATAATTTTCCAAACACGCAATGACTCTATCATGGAATGATTGGCACACAACAACTTGACTCCTTCTCTTTAGAACGATCTTTCGTCTGAGAAGAATTGGTTCAGATGAACCATTTTCTTGGACGCTAATGATGTTAATGGCATTGATTGACATTTTCTTATTTGAAAATATTAACTCATACTGCCATTGCTCTTTTGTCTGATTCAACCAGTAGCCCCAAACTTCGGCATTTGGTTCCAGACTTAGCAAATTGGATATTTTTCCAGGATAATAGAACAGCCAGTACGGTTTATCCGACTCGGTATAGACTGGTATTATGTAACCCTCATGGTTACAAGCACTTTCATAGTTTCCTTTCAGGGAATTCCAGCCATCTTCAGTGAAGTACTTTCGAAACCTGGTAGTGAGATGTTGAAATTCTTGTTCGGTAATTTGCAAATCCTTAACCTCCAAATCTTTTTCTTCTATTGAATACTTGCCAGAAACGACTTCAGGTATCAGTTCCTTCTCAATAATTTTAGAAAGCAAGTTCTGAATGTCTGATGGTACAGATGTACTAGCCAGTGGGTCATGGGTTAGTTTTGAATCGTTTATGTTTCGTTCTCGTGTGATGTGAAAGATAATTTCTTCCGCATTCATCATTACTTTCTTTATCTGATCACTTCCATAATTGAGCGGCTTCTTAAAAATAATTCCTTCAGGCAGTCCAGTAACTGTAAAACCACCTTTTTTGTAAGGAACTCTACTGCCAGGAATCCCACATGCTTCACCTAAAGTAAAATAAGAGACGGAAGGTTTTGTAAGTCTTTCCGATTATTGCAATCTGTTAACAAGTTGATGATGTACATGTATGTACCTGACAGATTTACCTGTATAATGTAACCGACAGGTTAAATTACATCATAAATTTACAAAAGGCTATTTTTACAATTAAAAAATATTAATCTATCATTATATAAAGTTATTAAAAGTGTAAAAAGTTCAGAAACTACCAAAGTCAAATAGGCCTAGAACTTCAAATCGATTGTTTACAGTTTTCCTTAAAATAATATTTTGTATAGTTTTTATTTCTAGTTTATTTAATTCTTCCATAGTTTCTTTCTACTTCCAATTATGTAACTAATGTCTTGTTATTGTACCGCAATCATTCCATATAATGGATATTAATAATACCAATTCTACCAATGTACTTTCAACCATTGGATAGTTCATGTGATGTAAATTCAAAGTGTGTGAGTTATTTTGCAGTGAAAGAAATCATCACAATATAATGTACAATCATTGAAAAATTTCGCTGTAATGTTCAACAAAAGTGCTTGTAATTTACAGTATATAAAATAACTTTGCCGACAGTATTGCTGCTCAAATAACCCCCCTCCCCCAAATCAATGTTGAATTGTTATGTTGAAGCCTTAGCGCATCTTGCCTGCGATATACTCTAGCATTTTCATCCAGGCAACATTGATTTGGAAGTGTTGGTGAGGGAGGTGTGTGGGAAGGGTGTGGTTGAGGGAGGGGGGGGGGGGCGACGGCTCGTCACAATATTTTTGTCAATGATTGTATTACTACTCCATTATGACCAAACAAAAGTCCCTTAAACATATAAATTATAAATTAGCTATATTTTAGTTCATCAATACAAAATAAATAATTAAAAGCCATGGTAAGATATCAATCTACAAGCAGTACACACGTGTAGGCAATCCTCTCTCACACAAGCGATCATTATTTTGGAAATAAGTGTGGTTTATACAAAACACTTACTATATTTCTCGTTGAACAGATTCTGGACATCGGCACGGGTATGTTGTTTGTCTTCCGCCGGGCGATCTGTGGAATTAATGTTGACTACTTTACTACATGTACACTACAACAACTATGACACCAACAATACAGTATCAACAAAAGTAGTACAAACAAAACACACTGGAAACTCCAGGTAATATAGTCAATCAATTTTCCAAATGCTCCATTGCATTGTATTTAAAATTGTAAGGTACAAACTTAATAAATTACCGTAAATTACCGTATATTACTGGGCTTCTACATGTCAACTTTTAATAAAGTAGGAATTTGAATGTTTCAACATTTTAATAAAATTGAAAATTGATTATTATGTATAAAATTGAATTTCTGAATTGGTAAAACGCCTATTTTGTTTGGAGTCACTATTGTCTGATAGGCATAAGCTAAATTAATCTACAGTACATTTTAATAAATTACCAAAGAATTCCATGAACTTTATTGCCACTGCTTCGTTTTGCATGAGAAACTGAACACCTTTGTTTGAACCATGCTGATTGATGTTCCCACTTGGTTCTATCATCACAACAGCCACCTCGCATCCCAGGTTTTCCAGATAAGAAATCTTTAAAAAAAAGTCTTCATAAATTGAATTGAAATTTACCACTTGGGTCTCCTCACCATCTTGAGAAGCAATGCAAGCAGTGAATTAATTGACCATATTCCTTATTCTTCATCTACTTTACATACCTCTTTCATGAGATTTTTTTTTGTCTTGGCTGTTTTCGTCTTTCGTCTTCTCCCAGTTCTAGTGGACGTATTCTGTCAACCTGCTTGGCTTTGCTCTTCCAATCATTCTTTTCTTCAGCACTAAGAGCTTGCCATTGTGACGAAACAAATCTCATTTTCTCCGATTTTGAATCAATAGCCTTGCACAAGTCTATAACATAATGCAGTTAAACATATACATTAACTTCATTGTTATTTTAAACAGATGCAGGGGACACATACATAAATTAGAGGTATAAAACAGATTATACTTAGAATTGCAGCCTGACTCCTTGTATGGCAGATAAAACAGCCAGTTGACTGCTAAATTTTGGTAAGCAAAACTCAATAACAAATAAAATTATGTTCTGTGAGTATCATATTAAATAAAAGTGTTTGAACTTTGGCATATACTAGTCTTGTTATTCCAGGAAATTTGTCATATTTTTTATGTGATGGAGTGTATAATTTGTTTATACAAAAGCCAGTGGCATGGGTTCAAATTCTAGCCGAACATTAAAAGTTTGAGAATCGTTGAGGAAGGTACTCCAACTGATTGCAAAAAGCTGTAAATGTTTAAGCCTCCATGTCCCCTCCAGGGGTTAATGAAAAATTGCAGACAAAGTCACAGAAAACTATGAGTAGGAATATGCACATATGGTTCTTGTTCTGCTGAATAATAAATAACATTTATGACATTTATTCAAGAATCATTCTATATTTCAAGGTACCATATTTTCTCAATTTAGCCCCCAGGGGCCTATATTACATACCTTAACTACCTACTATATCTAAAGTGTGGGGCTATGTGTTACCAAAACCATTAGAGGAATTTGAAGAGTCCTTTCTGGAATTTGAAAGTCAGAAAGATATTTTTCATATCAGGCAACAGTGAAAGAATGCAATACAGAACAAATTGCAATATAACATGAATTTTTGTAATTGAGCCAAGGATAGTGATTTACAGAACAGCCAATTTTCAATCACTTTCCACAAACATTTGATGCAAAGTGTGAACATGCACAAGTCAAATCAGAAACCTTTTGTAACTGAAGGCTCTAATAATTTGTACTAGTGATTCAATCAAGTGCAAGTGATTTTAAACTGCATTTCTTCATTGTAAACATCATAATAGCATGAATGATTTTAGTACTATACAACTGTCTTTGTAACTTCTGGTCTGGATAAGACACTCTTAGATTTCACTGGTAAATACTGGTAGATGTTGTACTGTAGGGCTTTAAGGCTTATATCTTTCTGATGGTTTCTGAGAGGGCAGGCCCAAAAAATAGGCACCAGTCACTGTTTATTGACAGATAAAATTTTGCAGGTTCACTGGCAGATTCACTCACTTACTGGACATACTTGTGATCAGAGTAAAAAAGCAAAAAAATTGATTAAAAAGCTATGTAGTAGAAACAATATTTTTCATATATAAGATGTATTAGACTAGCTGGGTACCTACAATAATGCAATTAATGACATTTAACAAAAAGCAACAAGCTGTTATTTATAACAACAGTAATTTGAATTTTATAACAACAGTATTTTGTAATAACTTAAAAATGTTAACAGTTGATCAAAGCATTATCAAAGCATTCACGACTGGTAACTTTTATACATAGTTAATCAGACATAATGGAATAACGACCAACATTATTTTGAGGCCTGTGAGGGGAGGGTTGCTAGAGGGCAGAAACTGCTGGAGGAGCGTTAAATAAAGGATGGATAAGGGTATATGACATTTTTGCTGATGATAAGGAAGCATTTAATATTTACCTGAACTTAGCATGCTTGATGAAAATATGTTGTAGCCAGATGCTACTCTTTTAAGTGGAGGACCTATTCTTAGTACATTGTCATCTGAATCTTCATGCTTGTTTTCTTCTGTCCTACTTTCACCTAGCTTTCTCTTCCTTTTTTCATTTCCAATCCATTTCTACACAAAATTTCAGTATCAACTGTGAAATACAGTTTACAACTTTACACCTACCCAGGTGGTACTATATGTATAATACTCGGAAATTTAAAAACGCCAAAGATAAAGTATCTGACTCTTGGTTCACATAATACTGACAACAGTGACAGTCCTTATAAACTTTATAAAGCCTTTATTAGTTTATAAACTTTCAGTCGCCATTTTGAAAATGCAAATTATTTATTTAGACGTCAAAATCGCAAATGTCTAATAACAATTTTGGCTCATATACATACTTTGAACTTCATGTCAAGTTCCAATCAATACAAGGCATCCTATATTTATATATTTTAAGGTATTTTGGAAGTACATACCTTTACTTGGTCGTAGGTTGCCCCAGCTTGTTCAGCAGCTCTCAGTATTATTTCCTGCATATGTTTTGCCGTCGTGTTCATTCCATTGTCATAAAACGCCCTAAGAATGATCTTTTGATCATCCGTCAAATTGTTGTAGCTTCTAAAATTAGTGGCCATCAGCAATATTTAGAAATTTTGACGAGTCCAAGAGGTAAGCGCAATATACAGTGGGCAAGAATGCGCGTGAGAATGTATACACGCTCGTATATGCATGCTAATTGTGCGCTTACAAAATAACTCGTTCCCAGTACAGCAAACAGCGAACGCGTTAGATGGCTCAGATGATCATCCCATGTCACATATATCCGATGTTCTAAAACTTAGAATTCTCAATATATGTGATTTAGAACACGCGGAACGGGTGTGCTGTAATATATGGCTTGCGACGTTGTTTGTGCGCGCGGTGAACTTTGGCTTTATGGAAGCTACAGAAGTATATTAAAACACAAATTCTAACCATTCAGTGCATTACCGAAGCACAAAAACGATAAATTTTTAAAAGAAAGCTTATAACGTGAAATTTGTCGCTAATGAAATAAGAGCACGCTAAGCATAAACCAGAACATGAAGCGCAAAAAAGCATTCGATTAGGCTAAAATGATATAACCCTACTACTTCCTTTACAAGCCTTCTACTAAGGAACTGAATACATTTCTGGGAGTATTTCTGTGTAACACATTCTGCGCTTCTTCTCTAAAGTTGTAACATTGCAAATGTTTAATCGAATGTTGAACCAAATCCAATGCGATTGAACGAAATTCCGGCAAACGTTTCAACGAACGGTAAATCAAACCGTTGAACGCTTTTGGACCAATTTTCGAACGATTTTTCCTAAGCGTTCGAACGGGCAATTTCGAACGATGAACGATCTCGAAAATCGTTTCAACGAACGCTTGAAGCGTTTGAACGGCAAACGAACGGATAACGAACGATATTTTTGAACGAACGAAATAGAGTAAACGTATGTTTTCCCGTGGAAGGTGACATATGTTAATGTAGTCTTTACATATGTGATGTCAACAGTTATTTAACACAAATGTTCGCCTATACTCCCGCGATTCTTTGACGTTCATATGGTAACCGTATTTCTTGTTTCGCATAGGTGGCTTGTTTGAGTAAAAACGAGCTAGTACACTGGCTAGTACACTGTTGGCTTGTTCTCCCTGGATTTCCTGTTTTACTTGCTCTCATAGATATTTAATGGAATATTTTTCCATAATCGCGGGTTAGGACGCGCAGTCAGCAATCGGGCCATCGGGCCTAATAGTGCCATATAAGGCCACATAGGGCCCAAACGGGCCTATGAGCATATGCTCATAAATGTTCATGAAAAGATGCTCATCTGCTCAATGAGATATTTCAGGCCCAAGCTCCTCAAAGGGAGGAAAAGGGGGTATGGCGAATGCAAAAATGTATGCATTTTTAGAGGGAAATATATATTGGTGTTATGGACAACGCGATGCTTGGAGCATAAATTAAGACACGGATTAACGCTTGTAACAATATAATAAAGTAGAACAATTTTACAAATATTTTAAACATATTGTCCGGGCACTACACTGTTTTCTTGTTTAGATCGTTTGACTTTGTCTTCCTTAAGCAAGAGTTTGCGTTGACAAGCCCGGACTTTTCCGGGGCTAATACGGGGCTAATAAAATACCTGACCCACGAAAAAATGAGCCAATTATTATTAGGAATTTGTTGAGCAATCATCTTAATATGCGTCGCACGCGTAGGAACTGTCCTGTATTTGGCTGTGGTAGTATAAATTTAGCAAGGTTAGCAAATCATCTCGACCAAGTACACGGTATGAGCACAGAGGAACACTGCGCACTGCGCAAAAGGTGAAGTCCGCCATGTTTTTTGCTTCGAAAAGATGGCGGCGAAGTTACCGAAAAATGACGAACCAGTCCTCCAGGAATTATAATATAGCTCAGTGTTTTGCGCCCAAAGTTCTTACTGCAGATATATGTGGGAACATCTAAGGTCAACAAGTCCCACAGTTAGTTGAAGTAGAGTAGTACATGAACTGAAATACGTCTCCAATATTACTCCTATAGCTTCGACGATGTCCGGAATGCACTATCACTGTAACCTATGCATTAACTTTACATGTCAAACTCTTCGCTCGTTGATCAATCATCTCGGTCGGGTTCACAAGAGTGATCGGGATTTCCATGCGCTATGTGGCATTAATGAATGTCCACGTACGTACACGAACTATTTCTCTCTGCGAAACCATTTTGTCAACAAGCATAGTCAAGTACTTCAAGCAGAGGAAGTTGTTGAACGAGATCCACGTGCCAACAACGAGGGAGATGAACTTGACGTTTATAATGGTAAAAACGATGACGATGATTTTTTCGTCTTTGTTTGCGAGGTCGAGAGTAATCAACGATCAAATGTATTGGGCTTAATCAAGGTCAAAGAGGAAGGCAAGGTACCCCAAACGATTGTCAATTCGATGGTGCAACATACCACCCAGATTGTCGAGAACAGCGTCGATGCACTTCAGTCTGGTCTCTAGCAATGTTTATCGAATGCGGGTTTGTTTACCAAAATACGCATAAGTTTGTTTACCAAAAGTTGTTCAGTACAGTCTGTATATATATATATATATATATATTTATATTATATATATTATATATATAATATATATATATATATATATA